AATATTTCTCCTTGAGTTGTTTAGAAAAGTGTGTCTCCCTGAGTTAGCCAGACAGCATAGGGCCAATGTATACATGGCTCAGCCCAAAAGAGATTCTAAAACCTTAACAGCTAACAAAAGAATTGTCAAGAACGCAGCTAGCTTCAACCTACATATTCTTCCCCAATGACTGGGGATGCACAAGGTCAAGATGGTGACAGTCGGGACAGCTGACCCAAGGGATATCCCACACTATATGACAATATGCTCAGCATATAAAGCTGGAGAAGAAAGAGGAAGTGGGGGATGTTCACAGTGATGGCACTTTGCCTTCCTGGAGATGACTGAACACCCACCTGCTGATGGGAAGCAGTAATTGAATTCCTTATTTTGCTTTGCTTCTGTGTGTGGCTTTTGCTTTACCTATTGAAATGTCCTTATATTAACCAACAAGTTTTCTTACTTTGCTTTTACCCTTCTGATTCCCTTCCCCATCTTACCAGGGGAGAGTGAGTGGCTGTGTGGTGCTTAGTAGACTACCAGGGTTCTACCATGACAAAAAGGTTCAACAGAGAATAAGAAGAACTTTGCAACAAAGAACTTTTCATGCCTTCTCATTTATGTGCTATTGTGAGTGCTGGAGAAGCCTCTAGTATAAGACAATATCCCAGTAACAGGAAATTATGGCAATTTCCAAATGATGTCAGATTAGTTGGAGACTTGACAAGCACCTTTGAGGTGCTGTATGTTGGAATCCATCCCTGGATACATTTGTCCCATACCCACCAACATGTTCCTTAAATCAGAGCTTCTTCAGAGACTTGAGTAAACAACATCAGAGTAGCATAAGCCAGAATTTGTCCAGGTTGAATTCTGTACCACACAGAGTCAGGTTTACAGCATTTCTGTGAGACAAGAATTTCTTGTGAGACACCATTTCTGGGACCCAAGTTTGTAGGCCAGGTCTAGTGGGGGCTGGTGGAGCTGGTCCGATAAGGCTTGCCAGACTGGTCAAGGAGGCTTTAAACTAGATGTGTTGGGGGAGGGGGGCATCATTCCATCCCAACACACCCAGTCAGTTGCCAGCACCTATAATAAATGCTCGGAGCAATGCAGAGATATTCCGGCTGCTCCAGCCAATGAGCCGGCTTCATTTGGAGCTCGGCTCAGATGCCTCTATACAAATGCCCGTAGCATGGGGAACAAACAAGAGGAATTAGAGATGTGTGCTCGTCTACGGGGGTATGATATTATAGGCATCACAGAAACATGGTGGGATGGCTCCTATGACTGGAGTGTTGGAATGGAAGGTTACAGACTCTTTAGAAAAGACAGGCCTGGCAGGCGCAGAGGGGGAGTTGCCCTTTATGTTAGGGATAGGCTGGAGAGTATGGAACTCTGTCTGGGGACTGGTGAGCAGTTAACAGAGAGCTTGTGGGTCAGGGTTAAAGGGAAAACAGTGATGGGAGACATTACTGTGGGGATCTGTTATAGACCACCTGATCAAGAGGAATCTGCGGATGAAGCACTCTATAGGCAGATAGGAAAAGCCTCACGCTCACAGGCCCTCGTTCTCATGGGTGACTTCAACCACCCTGACATCTGTTGGAATGACGGTACGGCCCGGCACAAGCAATCCAGGAGGTTCCTCAATTGTGTGGAAGACAACTTCCTTCTGCAAGTAATAGAGGAACCGACAAGGAGAGGTGCCATGCTTGACCTTGTGCTCACCAACAGGGAAGGGCTCGTTGGAAATGTGACGCTCCAGGGCAGCCTTGGATGCAGCCACCACAAGATGGTTGAATTTGAGATCCTCAGGACAGTGAGAAGAGCGTGCAGCAAACTCACTGCCTTAGACTTCAAAAGAGCAGACTTTGGCCTCTTCAGGAACCTGCTTACTAAGGTTCAATGGGATATAGCCCTAGAGGGCAGGGGGGCTCAAGACTGTTGGTTGGTCTTCAAGGATCACCTGCTACAGGCTCAGGAGTGTTGCATCCCAACTAGAAGGAAGTGCAGCAGGAGGGCCAGGAGACCTCCTTGGATGGATAAGGAGCTCCTGAGGAAAATTCAAATGAAAAAAGAGTTTTATAGAAAGTGGAAGCAAGGACAGGCGGCCTGGGAAGAGTACAGGGTTGTTGTCCAGGAAGCTAGGGACCAGGTTAGGAAAGCTAAGGCCCAGTTAGAATTAAACTTGGCTAGGGATATTAAGGATAACAGGAAGGGATTCTACAGGTACATAGCAAATAAAAGACAGATTAGGGAGAACATAGGCCCCCTCAGGAAGCTCTCAGGTGAACTAGTTACATAGGATTTGGAGAAGGCTGAGGCTCTGAATGACTTCTTTGCCTCCGTCTTCTCTAGCAAAGGCTCTGACCGCACCACCCAAGTCTTGGAAAGCAGACACAGGGACTGTGAGAATGAAGACCTTGGGCCCACTGTAGGAGAGGAATTGGTTCAAGACCATCTTAAAAATCTGAACGTGCACAAGTCCATGGGTCCTGATGAAATCCATCCGTGGGTCCTGAAGGAGCTGGCAAATGAAGTTGCTAAGCCGCTGGCCATCATATTTGAAAAATCATGGCAGTCAGGTGAAGTTCCCAACGGCTGGAAAAAGGGAAATATAACCCCCATTTTCAAGAAAGGGAAAATGGATGACCTGGGGAATTACAGACCAGTCAGTCTCACCTCTGTGCCTGGCAAAATCTTGGAGCAGATTCTCCTGGAAGGCATGCTAAGGCACATGAAAAACAACAAGGTGCTTGGTGACAGCCAGCATGGCTTCACTAAGGGGGAATCCTGCCTGACCAATTTGGTGGCCTTCTATGATGGGGCTACAGAACTGATGGACAACGGTAAAGCAGTTGATGTCATCTACCTGGATTTGTGTAAAAAGTTTGACACTGTCCCACACGACATTCTTGTCTCTAAATTGGAGAGACATCATTTTGATGAATGGACCACTTGGTGGATAAAGAACTGGCTGGAGGGCCACACACAAAGAGTTATGGTCAATGGCTCAATGTCCGACTGGAGACCACTTACGAGTGGTGTCCCTCAGGGATCGGTGTTGGGAGCGGTCTTGTTTAACATCTTCGTCGCTGACATGGGCAGTGGGGTTGAGTGCACCCTCAGCAAGTTTGCCGATGACACCAAGCTGTGTGGTTCGGTTGATCCGCTGGAGGGAAGGAATGCCATCCAGAGGGACCTTGACACGCTTGTGAGGTGGGCTGATGCCAACCTCATGAAGTTTAACCATGCCAAGTGCAAGGTCCTACACCTGGGTCAGAGCAATCCCAGACACAGCTACAGGCTGGGCAGAGAAGAGATTCAGAGCAGCCCTGCAGAGAAGGACTTGGGGGTGCTGGTCGATGAGAAAATGAACATGAGCCGGCTTCAGAGTGCGCTTGCAGCCCAGAAAGCCAACCGTATCCTGGGCTGCATCAAAAGGAGTGTGACCAGCAGGTGGAAGGAAGTGCTCCTGCCCCTTTATTCTGCTCTCGTGAGACCTCACTTGGAGTATTGTGTGCAGTTCTGGTGTCCTCAACATAAAAAGGACATGGAACTGTTGGTACAAGTCCAGAAGAGGGCCACGAAGATGATCAGGGGACTGGAGCACCTCCCGTGTATGAAGATAGGCTGATAAAGTTGGGGCTGTTCAGCCTGGAGAAGAGAAGGCTGCGTGGAGACCTCATAGCAGCCTTCCAGTATCTGAAGGGGGCATATAGGGATGCTGGGGATGGACTCTTCATTAGGGACTGTAGTGATAGGACAAAGGGTAATGGGTTAAAACTTAAACAGGGGAAGTTTAGATTGGATATAAGGAGAAAATTCTTTCCTGTTAGGGTGGTGAGGCACTGGAATAGGTTGTCCAGGGATATTATTGTAATTCTAGCCAAACCATATCAGGAGATTAAAACATCACAAACTTCTCAAGCTGAATCACTGTAGAAAAATCCTGCCATTTCAACCCATTATTTTGTATATGAAAGCAAAATAATAATTAAATAAAATTCTTCTTTAGGTCCACAAATACAAGCACACAATCCTATTAAGTTCAAAAGCTGCACTCAAACAATCATGAAGGCATCATCCAAGGATTTTTCAAGGAAACAATGCCCAAAGGGGAGAGTGAGTTATATTGCCTTCCAGCTCTGAAAAAGTATTGCTTGGTTTAAATCACTTCAAACTGAATTTACAATGTAATTCACTCAGCAATTCATTGAAATTACACACACATGAAATTCTCAAAAGCATTTTATGCCATCTGTTTAGGATATTTAATGTGAACATATTTGGGGGGTGAAGTTGGTTATTATAGGGGGAGGAAATTAACACATTGGACTAATTAACAGCATCTTCTGGAAAAGAAACAGGGAAGATAACCAATTACAAAACTTGAATGCTTACTGTTCTCCCAGCTAGAAATATTGTTCAGTTTGGCTCTCCTTGGAGAAAGAAAAATGCAAGAAAAGGCACGTGGGTTAAGATAAGGAGAGGGAGAAATCACTCACCAATGGCCAAAACAGTCTTGACTTGAGCAAATTAATTTATCGCCAATCAAATCAGAGTAGCATAATGAGCACCCCAGTTTCAACACTGAATTCCACACAAGTACTGGATTTTACTACCACCTCCACATGTCTGCCTATCCTGTCTCAATGACCCATGCTGCACTCAGAGAAATGCAAACAGCCTCTGGCAATGAGTTTGGACCGGTCTGGACAAAGACCCTTTAACTGTAATAACCTTCCAACTATCAAACTATCATTTAGAATATAGTCAGTTTAACGGATTAAAATACGAAAAACGGCTGTCATTAATGGTTGACCTGAAGTTCCTTCCAGGTGGGCAAAATTCAAACTGTTCTTTCCATGTCATTCCACCGTATATTGTTGCAAATAAAAGCCAAGACTGGAAGCACTATGTTTATCTCAGCAGGAAAAGATGTTCCTAGAGCAAGGACACTTTGAAAACAGATCCTACAGTAACAAGAAGCCAACAAGAAATGGAGAAATAAATACCTGTGACATTGGTGCGGGCTGACAAAGCTTCACAGTACTTTTCCAGCAGAACAGATAAGGGCAGGTTCACAGAAGATTCACAGTGGAGAACTATCTAGGTGAACAGATAGAAAATAAAACAAACTGTAAAGCGCCAGCATAGCATAGATTTTCTCCTTCATGAGTACAATAATCCCCAGCACTTTCACTGCAGTTCTCATTCAAAACTGGTTCAGGAACAGGCATCCCCTCATGACAGAGAAAATTTAGTTATATTTGCTTAGCTCCATGACATCAGGTGGCATTCCTCTGACTAAATGTAGGCATCTACAAATGAACCACCTATTCTGGACCTCTTCTTGTGGGAGCTAGTCAATAGCATTAACAGAGCTTAATAGCATTAACATTATCTTACCCAAAACTAGATGCCTAAAAGAGAGATGAATCATTTCCTACTAAAGGTCCTTACACATTCAAGAGAGACAGCAATTGGCAAAGGACAATTCAGAATGCTTGAGGAAAGTGCTTCCACTGACTGTAAAGGTAAAATAGACAGCCCTCTAAGGTGAACCTTGGCTCTTTTTAGCCAGTTTTAGTCTCTTTTCTAGACAAAAATTTATGACTCTCAGAACTCAGAGTGCTGAACTCTCCACTGAATGCAAATGCTAGTGAGAAAGAGCACTAATGTCAACACGGGCACTTCAAGAAAGCTGCAGGATCAGAACAGGATAATAGTATAGCACAAGTAAATTTTAAGAAATGCATATTTACTGTTGAATCCAAAGAACACGTTACTATTTTCACACTAAAAAATGAAAATACTCTAGTGCCCACTGCATGCAGTGGAGAGAAGCTCACAGAACTGTACATCTCAATGTACACCTGAGTTGGGATACTGCTTGGAGCAATAGAAGCTCTTGAAAAGCCCTTTAAGAAAGGCAGAACTGTGGTGAGAAAATTCAGAAATGACACACCATTGATAGAAACTTCCATTTTCAAACTATGAAACAAAATTTTCTGGACTGTTTCTGAGGGGGTATAAAGCTGTGGTAACACACAAAAAAAGGGGCTTTGCTTTTTTGTTTATGCAGAATGACTCTAACATAACACAGGCAGCTTTTACTTAGGGAAACGACCATAGTCCTTGAATGTTGACATTGCATTCAGTGCTTTAAGACGTACTGAGTGGTTGCAGACCCTCTTTATGTCACTGAATTCCTTGTCACTTAAGAAGAAGGGGAGTAAATGATCATGACAATAGAATTCATCAGCAGTGTTGGTCTCTAAAGAACAACAGTTCGTTGTACAAGACCATTTCTACCTATTTTTCACTTTGCTGTTATTTTACAAAATAGGAAGTCTTGAAATACAAAAGAAAAGAAAGAAAAAAGAAAAAAGCCTTTCCCAGACTTTACTCTTTTCAAATAAACACTATGAAGCTGCTGTTTCTCCTCCAGGGAGACTTGAACTCCCACTTCCGATAGCAAAGCCTTCCAGGGTACTGACCATCCATGGTCATATCAAGGAGATAGAGAAAGGTAATGGCTCTGTTCTGCAGGCAGGACAGGTGCCATCTTGCAAGGCAGCCAGCCTGCCAGAAAGTAGACTTTGTAGTGGTCATGTCTTATGTCAGACTCAGCCACGTGAGTTGACACAGAAGAGACATTTCTTCCCTTCTATCCTTCCACCCCTCTGCTACCTCACAGGCCAAAGCACTGTCTCACTTCAAAGAAGAAACTTGAGCCATCTCCATGTACTGTAAATACACTGCATGTTCAGCTGTCCGCTTCGTAAAATGATGGGAAAGAACAGGCAGAGGTCAAGCGTAGCACAGCATGGGTAGGAACAAGAAAGCTTAAATGTCACATTTGCTTTAGGGTCAGCTTAGGGTCATTTGGCTGGAGGGAAAAGCACCTTCCACATACTATATTACTTTTGCTTTCATTTTCTCTCCACTATCCACAGCGAACAGCTTTCTTGTGCATGATACTTTAAAAAAGTTGTATGTAAAGCAGATGTCCTGGTTTCAACAAATCCCAAAAGCCTAAAAAGCCCTTTTAAAATAAAAAAGAGCAGAAAAAAAGAAAAAGAAACCAAAGCTCCAAACATGTAACTAGTGCAGAATTTTAAAGATAAATAATTGGGCCTGTAACTGTGTATCTATTTTGAAATAGTAGTTGCTTTGTGTAGCTAATGCACTCCTTTACTCAAACTGTGTTTCTCTTAAGATAGCTTAAGATGCTCAGTTCCCACGAAATCAGTTTTACATTTTCTTGCACATTTACCTGAAACATGCACAGAAATGTCTATCTTAATTTCTCTGAGCCACTGCGGACGTTTATGAACAAATAAAAATAATGTTCTGAGCCAGAGATTTAAGGTGAAGAGGGAGTCCTTTACTTTCTAAAGGAGGGGTACCAGAATCTTCAGAACAATATATGGAGACTTTGGTCCACTTCCTGATCACATCTGAGAGGACATTCAGAAAAGTAATTGATTAATTGTTCTAGTGCATTTCTCATGGTCATTTTGTTAGACTTTTCCCCTTGGCCATGGTGACTGCTCTCCACTGATATATGAAAGGTCTTCATGTGTGTCAGAGGGCATGCAACTATAAGACACAGAGGAATTTACCATGAGATTGGCTCTAGGTATGGGGAGAACTGATAAAAAGGGCAGGAACCTGAGAGAGTAACATATTGCTATGCTACACTGTTAGAAGTTACAAGACACCAATATTAGTGTGTGTTCCCCTGTAAATGGAAGTGTGCCAATGTTGCAAACGTATTTATACAGAATTTGTTCTTCATCACACAGGTACTCTCCTAAATTCCTAACACGAAGTCATAAAAATACATATGCAACATTATATGATACATGTAGCATGCCTCAACAGATCCATATGGAGAGATCTGGACATAGACAAGTATCTGACCCATCATAGTGTTTCCTCCTCTCAGTTCCTACCAGAATTTGTGGTTATTTAATGTAGATTAGAGATGAACTGTAACTTAACTTCAAAAAGAATTAACACAGAGTCCTGGTTTGGAAGATTACTTCCTTCCACTACATGGTGAGATAGACAGATAGAGATAAAACACATAAAGCAAACACTGGTACTGTGTTCATCTTCATTGGAGAGGTTGTTTTCTTCTTTCAGACATGTAATAAATGGCTACAGAAATATCAACAAGTCCCCAAACGTGTAAATAGGATCCAAACCTGTCAATATAGGCATGGGGCTACCACAGAGATATGATGCAAAACATCTTGTAAGTTTAAATATCTAGCAACAAGGAGCATCACAGAGGAAGAGGTCAGCATGACTGGAAACCGACGGGAAAAGTGGAAGTAGAAAAAGATGACATATGACAGTTCAAGATGTGTTGCCAAGATAGGGGAGGTAAGCTTGGAGGCAGCGAATGCTGCCAAACATGGACAGATACATATGCTCCACTTTCCCATTCTTACATAACAATTCCCAGACACAATATTCTAGTTGCTTAATAAAAGCCAACTTTTCAGAAAAAGTTGTTATGCCTCCCTGTAAAACACCTGCTGGTGGTATGCTGAACAAAAGGAGAGGCGCTGACCTCTGAGCAAAGTAACAGAGCAAAACTTCTCCCTTTTAAAAATATGCAGTATCTAGTACTTATGAGGTCCTACAGAAATCTAGCCCATGGACCTATGTCCTGGGTTCAGCATCAGTTCAACCTATAACAGCATCTCATCAGAAAGCCACTCAACAGAAGAGCAGTGGGATTTATCTCAAAGTGTTCAGACTTCAAAAAGAGATCACTTGTGGATTCCTTTGCAATTCAAAAAGAGAAGTAGAATTTTTTTCAGATGCAGTTCATCTGCCATATTTTGAATCTCTGAGCTGAAATGAATCAGTCCCTGATCTCCACTGACTGCATTAGCTGGGTCTCACTCACCCACTATAAGGACAATGTAACTTAGATGAATAAACATTCTTAGAGGTGATGGCCTCAGAAGACAGGAAGACATCACGTATCATACAATTATCTGGAGGACTTTTCAAACAATTTTGTAGTTATCAACAACACTTATTCAGTCCATAGTGACAGGAGGATTCATCTCATGTCTCCGCTGCCACGTAAAAATGGAGTTTCAGTCTGAACTAGCCACCTGTGCTTCTTACAAAGTCAAAGCACTTTCCCCTACTGAGTGGACAGTTATGCTAATGGCATAGGTCATGAGAAGAGGATGCTTATTCCTGCCCTTCATTTCCATGAAGCAGCGCTACTTTTAAGACTCCTGCTGCACCACCTCTCAGTGGTTTCTGTAAAACATCTGTGAGTGCTGAGGCCTTTAGTTCTACCTCATTTCAATATCAACAGTACAGTGAAATTGCCTTCAGCACATAGAGCGCTGCTACTTTGTAGTTTTGCCCCAGAACCAAAACCAAACCAAACCAAACCAAACAAACAAAAGGAGAGAAAAGAAAATCTGTATTTAATTTTCGGTTCTTCAAGTAGACAATGCAAATAAAATGAATTTTGATAAATACTCAGATTAAATTAAGCTGTCCAAATGCACCATTTCTACAATGAGATCGAACGTTCTCCTGATCCTTTGGGAAGGATTGTCTCAAAGCAGTGATGAATTAAATGTGAAAACTGCAAGTTTGTGTCCAAGAACCTCATTTTAGAGAAACACATCTAACTTCACCATGAATATATAGTTAGTGAAAGAGCATGAGAGAGACAAATCAAAGTAAATCCCACAATTCCTTGACTAAACCCATACTTTGTTTGAATACAGGCAGGGAGTTTCCAGAGTGGGTGGGCATCTGGGAAGTCTTTCAGGGGGTTCCTGCCATCACCAGTGCTGGCATGTGAAAACAGATTCTTTGGGACAAAACCAGGTATTCAATGGAATGCACTCATAACAAATGCCAACACTCATTGGAGCATCTTTTTCTATCTAAGAGATGCTAATACATGGGAAAGAATGAGGAGAACCAGAATATTTGCTGACTACTAATCACCTGAAGGAATATGCAGAACCAGGAGGGTAAAGAATGCTACTTAAGGGTAAAAACAGAGAACAGGCTAGGAGAAGAGGGGAAGGTAGTCTTCTCTGTGGCCAGGA